ATATATTTTATTAATATACTTTAATAATAATAATAATAATAATAATAAACAAATTTCCTGATTTACCATACTTTTAAATTATTTAAATTCATAAATCAAGTTAAATATAATAAACCTGCAGATTCACATATACAGGTGAGGATTACACTTCTCTCAGACTAAAGAGTCTGAGATCTTTTTTTTAATGGAAAAGCTGTCAAAAATTGCTAGAGAAACAAGGCATATAACATTGGTATTGGACAGGACAAGTAATGAAGACAATGAGAAACAATAGTTTTATTTCTAGGGTCTAAATCTCTAGAGTTAATAGGCAATGCATTACACTGGTGGTTTACCACTCCACTTCACTCACATCTACACAATGATGCATCATACTTGCCTCTCTCAGCTAAGCATCACGCAAACAATAAAATTAAAAAATTAAAAAACATGAGCATGCACTCAACAGACAGATATTATCACAGGGCATATATGTACCATACAAGAAACAATGAAATACTCAACAACAAAGACAAACAAATAAAAGATGAACTTTTTTATACTGATACAGACAGTATTTTGTGTGTTCAGAAGGCAGTACTTCAGTGTCAAACTCACCCCGTTGTTTTGTGCTGCTCTGCCTACTCTGTATCTCTCATACCTGTTAGAACACAGAGTGCCGGTGAAAAATCAAAAACACTCGTCACGATGGAGATGAAAGAAATGTTAATGTGTTTTCAGACCCTGAGCAAAGGAAGGGAAATCAAAGGGAAGCCTGAGCTGAGTGCGGAGACGTTAAGTCAGAGCTTCCTCTGAGAGCTGTCAGATAAAGGCTGACGAGGGAATCTTTTTGTGACGGACACTTCTTCTCACCTCTCGTAGCGCAGGAAGCTGTTGTTTAAATCATCGTTGATGTGTAGCAGCTCTTCGGTGACCTCTTCGTTAGACACGCGAGAGATGAGCTCCACTACCCTGTGCTGCATGGCACGACACGTCCTGTTCAGCTCCTGACACACAACATGCGCTTCAGCTTTGCTGTTATTCTTATCAGTTTGCATTATTATGGAACATTTTCCCAGTCGAGTATAGAAAGGACATAATAATGTACATACAAACCTATATAATGAACAGAATCATAGACATGCAGTAGATGAGGTGCTTGTCTATTTTAAAACATTGTATTGCTACACCCTCTTGTGGTGATGTTTAGATTCAAAATATCTAGACTTTTTTTTTTTACTATGGTCTTTTATTGTAGTGGTGCGTATTAAGAACATGGAAAATTTTGATGAGAAGAAAGGAGAATGGGATGTTGCATGCTGGATTAGAACCCATATAGCCAACATGAGCACCACAGCTCAATATGTCCGAGAAGCTATGCTATGTGCTAGGCCACAGATCCATTGGATTTAATTTGTGTTCAACTGCTCTAGGTAAACATATGGCATCATTTATATGCATATTCACTGTACAAAAGATCTGAGCGCAGTGGGAAAACTCTCGGACCTGGAGTAGCTCGAGATCAGAGGCGTCTTCTTGGCCCGGCACCATCTCTGTCAGCATCTCCGACATCACTTTAATATTCCCACGCACAACGTCCAGCTCACTTCTCAGCCTTGCGATCTGTACACACAAACAAAACACTTCCGAATCAACAAAAACAGTAATATTGTGAAATATTTCTACAATTTAAAATAACTGCTTTTTATGTGAATATATTGTAAAATGTAATTTATTCCTGTGATGCAAAGCTGAATTTCCAGCATCATTACTTCAGTCTTCAGTGTCACATGATCTTTCAGAAATCAGTCTGATATGCTGATTTGCAGCTCAAGAAACATTTCTTATTATTGTCAAATGCTGTAAACAGTTGCAGCTTAATATTTTTGTGGAACCTGTGATACTTTGATACTGTGATATTTATATAAAAAAAATATATAAATGTCTTTACTGTCACTTTTTATCAATTTGTTGCATGCTTGCTGAATAAGATTATTATTTTTTTTTAAAAACAAAAATCTTAATGCCCCAAACTTTTGCATGGAAGTTAGGAAAATGTTTCAGATTAAGATTATCTCTAAAGCATTATTCACAATAAATTGTTCTTAGTTGTAATGGTGTGTGCACACCAAAAGTGAAGCGAATATTTGTTTCGCGTTATGGCTTTAGATTACTTGCACAGCGTTTTTTAAGTCGCTCGCACAAATAAAATCATTGCATTTTCTAATAAAAACTGGACTTGTCAAACCGGATGTGTCAATAAGTTCTTCATTGATTGGCTTGCGCGCCAATGTGTCGTGCGATTTTTTCCTCTCAAGTTCTTGCGCGGAAGACGCTATTGATGCATATATCACACGTTTGCGGCAATCGCATCACCCAATTCATGTCATTCGCATTGTCTGGCTCGAATTCGTGTCTGTTTGCGTCTTATGAATAATTGATTTGTTAAATCAAATGAAAAATGGTGTGTCCGATTGGTCCAGACGCTACAGCATTGACTTTGTATGAAATCTACTTGCGCAAATAATTAAATTTGCTTTTGGTGTGCTCGTACCATAACACCATGGTGACGCCACGACACGTAATAAAAGGTTGCTTTTTCATGTTAATCAGAGTTTTTGTCCTAACTAGCCACGACGGCGACATGTGAAATTTCTATTTTAGAAACAGTTTCTATTTCTGCGATGTAACGTTAGCGCCTGGAACAACAACATACAAACTATATGACAGTGATAATCTCAGGTACTGATTATGTGCTTTATTCAAAGTTAACGTGCCTAATGTGGGTTTGAAGATCATTTTGCGTGACATTATAGTCATACTGAAATCAACAACAGATAGTTTACCTCAGATCTTGAAAATAAATTAAAGCAAACATGTACGTTAAAACAGCGAACACAATACGAACCAACAAGCGTTCGATGTAACGATAGCGCCTGGAACAACAACATACAAACTATATGACAGTGATAATCTCAGGTACTGATTATGTGCTTTATTCAAAGTTAACGTGCCTAATGTGGGTTTGAAGATCATTTTGCGTGACATTATAGTCATACTGAAATCAACAACAGATAGTTTACCTCAGATCTTGAAAATAAATTAAAGCAAACATGTACGTTAAAGCAGCGAACACAATACGAACCAACAAGCGTTTTCCATTACAAAGATGGTATCAGTCACTCAGTATGTACATTTAATGATGTTAAAAGGTTTGATATTTATGAATTAGATTATAAACGTATCCATTTTGTTGCGAGAGCAGTGCGCTTCCAGAGAGAGCCTGCCCACACACGCTTCTGATTGGCTGTGATATTTGATCGAATTTGTCGCGTTTGGTGTGGACACCCAAATTGCTTGTCACGGGAATCTTGTGCGTCACGTGTAGTTAGGACACAGTGTAAGTCAGCTCATTGGTTTTGGAACAGGTTTTCAACACATTTCATTTTAGCACTGAATACAGCAAAGTCTATTCTGAGGTGAGTGTGACCTGCTCTGGGTTTGCTGTGATGGGTCCCGATACAGGAGGGATCTGGGTGGGGTTGAAGTCAGCTGTTGCAGCAGCTGCAGGTTTAGGGCCCGTTTGAGATGCTGTGTTGGGCTGAGCAGGCGCTCTGTACTTGTGTGTGCCTGGATCTACCTCTGGGACTCCCTAGAATGACACACAAGAAAGGATGAAGCGAAATTAATGAAAACATATTGAAGAACCCACTGCTAAACCCTGTAAGTGTTGTGTGTCTCTCACCCGCTGTGGTGTGTGAATGGGTGACAAAGCATCCAGGTCTGCCATGGGGAACTCAACTCCTTTCCTCTTCAGCTCCTCGTAAATGTGCACGACTCCAGTGAGGTCTGGGCTGCTCCTGAACGCATCTGCCCAAGCCTGGGCCAAAACACAAAGACAGAGAGGTGATTGGTTAATGTATAGTGGAACTATACAAGAGCTATCTCACAGGAAGTGACTACTAATTTACACATAACTGGGCATTATCAGGTAAAGTTTTCAACCATTAGCAATACATGGTTTTTAACAGGTAAAAGGAACTCACAACTGAACTGAATTTTGTTAATCACTCTTGCCAATGGCCATTCTTGATAAATGTACAGTACACAAGTGGAAATCATTGAGGTCCAAGCAGATGGAATAGGTTAGAGCAGGTTATTGATCAACTTTTTTGATTTCTGGTCCCTCCTCTGTTCACAACAATATTTAAACACACCATGAGTTTTACAGTTTTACGTGACTTATTAGATAAGTATTTAAAAAAATATCTTTTACTTCCACAAATTTTACCCGATAAAGTATTTTAGAGCTTGGCATAACTAGGAAAACGTATATGCATTATAAAAATGTTCATAGAGTTACAACAATTTTATTAATTTACATAACTTTTCCAGGTCTAGACATTTTAAATTAGGCTTCCACATATATCCAGTTTTTTCAAGACAGTGGAAATCTTGTTTCTTAATTTAAAAAAAACGGTCATGGGGTGAATTAATATAAGAAATAACTTTTGTTGTTGTTGTTTTTAGCTTGTTTTGTCTTTAAATCATTTTAAGTCATCTTAAGACCCCCTTGGAAGTTTGCTGAGGCCCCCTATTGGGCCCTGAGTCCCTGGTTGAGAAACACTAGGTTAGAAAATGTTTATAATTGCCAAATTTGGCAGAAAATATGCTCTGGATGTTAGGGATACACTTGTTGTCTAATAGTGGTAGTTTAAAGACCACATTTACATTTAGTAGTGGTTAAACGGATCGTAGTTGATCCGTGATCCCTGATCCGTACGGACCAAGCCCCACTGTTCGGCACGCATGTGATCCGCGGATTAATTGCAAAATTTAACCATAATAGAGTATAAGTTTATAATTTGTTCGTATTTACACAAGCAAGCGAATTTTAAACAATTCCAGAGAGAAAAGGCGAAAGGGAACTCGATTCGTAACTCGCGCGCTGTTCTCTACGTGCACAGCCACACACACATGAAGCACGCACACGTGTTTAAGACGGCGCGCGAACACCGAACTGAATCCTCTTCTGAATCCCCTGAACAGACACATACACATAAAATTATGACAAAATACACATCTTGACAATCATTCAGACAAACAAAGTCAGTTATGTCTCAAGTGAATGAAAACAGCTGAGAAAGAAATCGGATGTGATGTGTATCATTATATCGGATCCGTGCATCAGGTCTTAAAGGGACAGCGGCCTATAAATACTGCTGCTGTCATTAATGATCATCAAACAACAAAACAGCTGTGATAAAAAATATGTTATTTTCCCTAATTATTACATTTTTGTATTTGAATACTACTAACTTTATTTTATTTGTAACATATTCTGTTGTATTTATCTATGCTTGTAATTTGTGTATTTGTTCTTATTTTTACTGGCTGTTCTCTTGTCTCTTTAATCATGTTTAAACTTTCTTAGTTAATCTCCGCAGATTAATTGCAAAATTTAACCATAATAGAGTATAAGTTTATCATTTGTTCGTATTTACACAAGCAAGCGAATTTTAAACAATTCCAGAGAGAAAAGGCGAAAGGGAACTCGATTCGTTACTCGCGCGCTGTTCTCTACGCGCACAGCCGCACACACATAAAGCAGGCACACACTGAACTGAATTCTCTTCTGAATCCTCTGAACAGACACATACACATAAAATTATGACAAAATACACATCTTGACAATCATTCAGACAAACAAAGTCAGTTATGTCTCAAGTGAATGAAAACAGCTGAGAAAGAAATCGGATGTGATGTGTATCATTATATCGGATCCGTGCATCAGGTCTTAAAGGGACAGCGGCCTATAAATACTGCTGCTGTCATTAATGATCATCAAACAACAAAACAGCTGTGATAAAAAATGTTATTTTCCCTAATTATTACATTTCTGTATTTGAATACTACTAACTTTATTTTATTTGTAACATATTCTGTTGTATTTACCTATGCTTGTAATTTGTGTATTTGTTCTTATTTTTACTGGCTGTTCTCTTGTCTCTTTAATCATGTTTAAACTTTCTTAGTTAATCTAGTAGTATTTGCTGTGGTATCAAAGAAGTACTTCGCTTTACGTAATAAATGGAAAGCAAGTTAAATTGAAATATTTTTCTTTTCTTGCTGATCTGAAAAATCATCCGATCCGTGGGTCAAAAACCGTAATATGATCCGAACCGTGAGATTTGTGATCCGTTGAACCACTAACATTTAGTCATTTAGCAGACGCTTTTATCCAAAGTGACTTACAAATGATGACAATAGAAGCAATCAAAAACAACAAAAAAGCAATAATATGCAAAGTGCTATGACAAGTCTCGGTTAGCCTAATGCAGTACACGTAGCAAGGGTTTTTATATATATATATATGTATATGTGTGTGTGTGTGTGTGTGTATATATATATATAAAAAACAAAAAGAAAACAAGTAGCTAGAATAGAAAAAGAATAGAGAAGGCTAAAGTTAGAGGCCTTTTTTAAGAAAACAGGCAGTTAGAAAACAAATAGAGAGTGCACATGTTAAAGGGTCAAGTCAACAAATATATAAAATAGAATTAGAATAGAGAGTGCTAGAGTTAGAGGATCAAATAAAGATGGATTGGATTCATTTGTTCTCAGATGGCCCGAAAATGTAGTTGACAAATCAAAAATAAAATAAAATAAAATAAAACTAAATAAAATAAAATAAAATAAAACAATTCAGTGTGAAATTTTAGAGGCTGAAAATCCATGTAAACATTTGATTTGAGAAAATGCAAACGCAGCTATGCCCTGTACACCATCAAGGAAACTGTCAGCGATCTATCTAAACTGAGTCAATCGGATTCAGTAATGGCTTCCAGTCAACTAGAATTAATGCAATTGCATGCAGCCTCACAGACCAAGTCCATCAGACCTAGTTTCCAGCCCGCACCCATTCTGAATGGAAATGCTTAGAATGCAGCAACGGCCATCAGTGGTGGTTTTATTGCAGAAACAAAGGAAGAGTTCAGGAGGAAGTTTGTAATCTGGGTTGGGCCGTTTGCCTCACTCAGTTCACCTGAATCAGTGACAACACTTTGTCCTGTACTATAGCAGGAGGGTTGGTCTTCGGAGTGATGATCTTCACCAAGACACCTTCGATGAAATCTCTATTGGCGATGTGGATGTGAAAACGGTGGCCGCAGTTTTTCACGCAAGTCTCCAGCACCTAGAAAAGACAATTATACAAGCAGCTAAGATTATTGATTATTTAGACAAGCTGAAGCTCCCAGATGACCACACAAAACAGGAGCATAATGCATTCAAATCCTCACAAAATACCTTCTTCGAATGTCAAAATAGCCTCCGGCAGGCCTGAAGTGGGGTTTACAAAGTACTCAGTCGTCATTAACTATTAAAAGTGCACAGCACCAGACTAAACACCAGATTTTGCTCCTCCACCTTCATTTATGACAGTATGAACACAAGGGTTTTTGTGAAAGTGAGAGAATGTCCAGCACACTGTCACTCACGGTTAGAGCCAGCATCACTTCACGGAAGTTCCTGTTGCCACTGAGTCTCTTTTTCACCGCACGCATGGCATCTTTAGGCCTGTGGGGGCACACAGTTTTGACAACAGCTCACCATACTATATTATCACACGCACAACAGAAATTAACAGTATATTTATTCTAAGCGTAAGCTTCAGTTATGTTCTGTCAACATTACAGCCGGCACTTTGAATGAATTTTGATTGGCTGTCAATGTTTTTAACATTCATAGGCTGGGAAAAAAAATGCTCTTAAAAAATGTTTATAGTTGTGGTGTGGACTCCACTGTTCTCTTTTAATGTTTTTTTTTTTTTTTAAAGTGAGACACTTACAGTTACATTAGCAATATTTTGGCAAATTTCACAAGAAAAAAAGGTCCAATGTCTATTGTAAATAATGTAACATGTCACTCAGAAGTCACTTTTCAAACCGAGACCAATTGGTGGGAAAATCTTCCGCCTTCACACAAAATTCCCAATCGCAGACTGTCGCGTCGAAGACTGACACAGAGGAGAAAAAATTACCAAATAAAATCATTATTTTTGTTTTCTTTGCACACAAAAAGTATCGTCGTAGCTTCATAATATTATGGTTGAACCGCTGATGTCACATGGACTATTTTAACAATGTCCTTACTGCCTTTCTAAGCCTTGAACGTGTCAGTTGTGTTGATGTCTATGGAGGGTCAGAAAGCTCTCGGATTTCATCACAAATATCTTAATTTGTGTTCTGAAGATGAACGAAGGTCTTACGGGTTTGGAACAACATGAGGGTGAGTAATTAATGACAGAATTTTCATTTTTGGCTGAACTATCCCTTTAATAATTACTTCTATAGTTATCGCTCTTGGTGTGAACAGGCTTTATAGAGCTATTGATATGAACATACTCTATTGAAGTAGCTGTATCACACTCAACCATTTTTAGTTGTATTGCTCAGACTTAGGGTTAAGGATTTGAACAAACCCCTACAAGTAGCTACAGTAAAAAGCTGTTGATTTGCATCATAGACGTTTCTATGTTGTGTATTTCAGCATGACTGGATTGACCAATCAGTACCCAGGATCATAACTATTCATTTTATAACATGCAATTTAGCAGATCACTCTGTGAGCTCATGATAGGAATTAAAAGACTCAATCCGCCACTACTGAAAGCCCTCTTACAAAAACGCACTGTCATTTATTGACAGGAAGTTCATCAACTCCCAGCTTTGTTTTTTCCCATGGTGGGATCAAAGCTCCCATGTCATCTTTTTATAAGCTTTCGTAAGCAAGAACAACAACATCAGCTACTAAAAACGGAACTCAACGTAGAGACGATTTAACTGTAAAAATGAATAGGAGAAATTATGCTCAATATCGCACCGTAGTTAAAAGAAGCAATCAGCATTTTTGATAAGGACTGTCATGAAGATGTCCGCCCACTGACTTGTCTTAAAAAGGAAATTTGCTCAGACTCAAATTGCATACTCCCACAGTAGTACTCCTTTTGAATAAGCAAGTACTTCGCAACCACTAAAAAGTATGTTATATTTTATATGAATGTATTTATTATGAATGAAATACAGATGTATTACATTTGCTATGTTGTCAATGTCATGTGTGCTGCTTTACTGCCATTCACTAATCCTCTAGGAAAATGGTAATCAGATTCGGATCTCGCAGGAAGCAGTTGGTCATCTGGTTAGGTTTCACCTACTTATTTTTTTAATGAATAGTCTTTTCACATACTGTTTTTCGAGATGGTCCTCACTGCAGAACACAAGATCCAGGGGGCGTGGTTGGATCCAGATCCAACTCCTCCCACCTTACATATACCTAAACCCACCCGTCTCCACCCCCTGATCCCTAAACCCACCCCTAAACCTACCAATCTCCACCCACTAGATGTGGATCCAACCACGCCCCCTGGATCTTGTGTTCTGCAGTGAGGGGCTACTGTGTTTTTCGCCTACTCGATACTAGGGAAGTATGTGACTTCAGATATAGCCATCATGTGCAGAAAAGTCTACCAGAGAGGAGGAACTATAGTAATACTCTCTTGCATTATGGGAAGTACAAAATAGCAGAAGTGAAAATCAAAACTGCATGGGACAGAATTGACTGGCAATTTGAATAATGAATACTTAAATGCACTTTCTATCAATATTATAGCCTAAGACCGCACTATTCTAAATCTATGCTTAGTCTGGCATAATCTGCTTAAAGAGGCGTTTATGCAAATAATGGAATGCATCATTAAAAAACAGGAAAGATTGTTTACATTTTTGAAAACACCCACAACTTTGAAAGCAACAAGAAAAAAACAGCCCAAACAAAGTAGAGCACAACAGAGTCCTGTGTTCCCTCAAACAGAACAGAGACAAGCCTGTGGTGCCAGTCTGACGACAGAGTGTGTGAGAGAAAAAGAGAAAGTGAAGAATCATATGGAGTAGGAACAGCACTGTGACTCTGTGTAAAGGCTCTGTTTAGACATTGATCTCAGGTGATCCAATCACAAGTGGTCAGCCGAGACACAGTTACCAAATAAAACTGCAAGTGTACTGTGACTACTTGTGACTGGTTTTCATCTAGCTGGTTACTTGACTACATACACTACCTTTCAAAAGTTTTGGGGTCAATAAGATTATTTTTTTTAAGTAAAAGTAATTAATACTTTTATTTATAAAAGATACAGTAAAGGCATTTGTAATATTAAAAAAGATTTGTTCAAATGAATGCTTTTCTTTTGAGCTTTCTATTCATGAAGGAATCCTTAAAACAAATAGTGCTGTCAAACGATTAATCGCATCCAAAATAAAAGTTTTTGTTTAGATAATATATGTGTGTGTACTGTGCATATTTATTATGTAAATACACACACATGCAAGTATATATTTAATAAAAATATGTTAGGTTTATATATTAAATTATATAATATAAATTATACGAATATATACATGTAACTATTTTCAAAATATAAACTGTATGTGTGTGTTGGGTTGTTTTGACCCAGTGGTTGGGTTACTACCCAGAAGGTTGGGTTAAACATTTCACTCAACCGCTGGGTCAAAACAACCCAATTGTGAGAACCCATTAGAACGACAGCACATTCCCAGTCAGTCTGCTGCTCAGACAGCTCTGTTGTACTGAATGAGTCTGTGAGAGTCGCTGTGAGTCATCAGCAGGCGCTGTGTGCGAGTGTGTGTTTGTGTGCTGCTCTCTCACCCTTCCTCGGTCTCATTAATGATGTCACAGATCTCCATGTTGAGTGTCCAGTCTTCATTCTGCAGGGAGCCATCTGTGGCTTTCTCTGTGAGAAACAAACCACACACAGATCAGCAGGCCATCTCAATTACGGACACAAACAAACACATGCAAGACAAAACATTTAATCCTGGTGGCACAGCGTAACAAAATCAATTATGAGTTCCAGCCACATGACCACATCTGGAAGTGCGTCCCAATCAACAGACTAGCAGTGCTCACTGCTCCCTATTCCCTGAGGACAGGATATCTGTTGACGGTCACGTCACCTGGCAAAATTCACAACACCTTGCAATGTCGTCAAACACTGATGAAACGTAAACTGCAGTAGTTTGAGGTATGATGAGATAAGATACTTCTGTAAATAAATATAACATATTGATTTAATAAAAAAATGTGTATATAATACAACCATGGGTATTTATATAAATATCATTCTATTATAAATTTCAATTTATATAATCTGTCATATTTGAAAGAACTAAACTGGAGTATGTAAACATGATTAGTAGAACACTGTTAGATTATGATTATGATGCAGCAATGTTATTAAAAAAAGAAGCATCTAAAAAGGAATGACTTTAAGCCAATAAACGGAAGCCTGTTCTATGACACATCCTATGATATTAATCAGATAACTTAGATACTAGGCATTTGATGGTATCAAATTTTCATGTTGCCATTAATTGCTAATGCTTTTATCACAGTATACGGTATCACGGTATTGAAATTTAGTTGCAAAAAAGTGTTGTCAAAGTATAACAGGTTTAATAACTTTTTTCTTATAACAAGAAGAACTGAACATTTACATACAATAAAGTAATACACAAAAAAAGTATAAAGTAAAAAATTTCACACAGACAAAAGAATTATAAAGACCAATAAGTAACACTTTACAATAAGATCTCATTAGTTAACCTTAGTTAAAGGGTTAGTTCACCCAA